AAAGGTTAAAGCACTTGGGACTCTTTAGCTTGGAGAAACGACGGCTAAGGGGTGACATGATCGAGGTTTATAAGATTATGCATGGGATAGAGCAGGTAGAGAAAGAGGTACTTTTCTCCCTTTCTCACAATACAAGAACTCATGGGCACTCAATGAAATTGCTGAGCGGTCGGGTTAGAACAGATAAAAGGAAGTACTTCTTCACTTTAATTAACACGTGGAATTCACTGCCGCAGGAGTGGCGGCGGCTACAAGCATGGATGGCTTCAAGAGGGAATTAGATAAGCGTATGGAGCAGAGGTCCATCAGTGGCTATTAGCCACAAGGTATAGATAGGGACTCTGGGGCAAGTGATGCTCTGTATTCTTGGTGCTTGGGGGGTGGCAGCAGTGGGAGGGCTTCTAGTGTCTTTGCCCCACTGCTGGACCTCCTGATGGCACCTGATATTTTTGACCACTGTGTGACAGAGTGTTGGACTGGATGGGCTATTGGCCTGATCCAACATTGTCTTCTCTTATGTTCTTATGTGATCATTCTTTGTGCATCCTCCCTAAACCCAGTAAATTTGACAGCAGGAATGGAATGAATGGATGTCATTGTGTCTGATCATGGGGGTGAAAGCGAAATGTGCCTCAGAATTACGGTGCTGGACAGGGAACAAGTTCTCTCTTCCCTTCCATGCACTCTTGCATCTCGCATCATGAATTTCACAATGCTATTCTAGGCAGAGCTACACCCTTCTTAGTCCATTGTAGTCAATGGATTCTGATGGGTGTAACTCTGCTGTGGCTGCACTCTTTTTACATTCTGCTCTCCCAGTTTCTCTCTTCCACTTGAATTCCACAGGCAAAACTCAGCCTTAAACTATATATATTACATTTTTAATGGGTTCTGCACAGGGACTTGCAAGCCATATGGCAACTGCATGCCCCTGTAGCTACTCGTTAGTAAAAAGTACAAACAGGCCTAATTCTAACTGGGATAGCAGCATGGGGGAGTGGGGGCTCCTGCCTCCTCATGGCCTTTTTGGGCAGCCAAAATGACCCAGTGCTGCAGGGGTAGACCTCCCAATGATGCAAATAACAGCTTCCCTTGCAGGCCCCGGATCATTTTAGCTGTTGAAAATGGCACTGGGGAGGCAGGAGCACCTTCTCCCTTACTACTGTCCTGATCAGACTCGGACCCATCTATGGTATTTGCACACAAGTTGCCATAAGGACTTGCAGTTGTAGTACAGCTGCACGTCCCCATGGAGAACTTGTGAAGAACTTGTGAAGTAACACGTCATTTGAACCTGAAAGGCCCATAAGGTGGAGGCAAAGCCTTCCCTCAGTAAGGTGCCAGTTTGGCACAGAGTGAGCTTGCTACCTTTCCATCATAAGTGATTAGCTCCAGTGTCCCCTCTAAGCTGTGAAGTCCCGTGAGCAAAAATTCTACTTGCTGAGCTACTGGCATTAAAGTTGTGAGCAAGCGATTTGACTACTGCATAAATTAGTTTGCTCTGGAATCATCCTTCCTGAGCGAAGAGCAAAATGTGTGAGCCAGAGGCTAACAAACTGTGAGCTAGCTCACACTAACTCAGCTTAGAGGGAGCACTGAGAATGTGGAAAAATAAAGAGCTTTTTTGGGGGGAATTCTTGGGTATATTGCTAGGGACTCAGTAAAAATGATGGTTTCTATCTATTGTTGCTTTAAATTCTGGAATAAAAATATTTTAAAAGCAAGTGCAGTGTCTTTTTCCCTGTTAATAAAACCCCTGAAGATGTGAGGTCTTATCCACAAAGGTTTGTGCTACAGGAAAACCAGTCTGACTCTTTTAAGGGTCATAATGGATAGCACTGAGGGGATCTCAGTGAACATATCAACCCAATGTGCTGCAGTGGTGAAAACAAGGCAAACTCTATGTTAGGGATTATTAGGAAAGAGACTGAGAATAAAACAGCCAATATTGTAATGCCCCTGCATAGATCTATGGTTCAGCCTCATTTGGAATACTGTGTACAGTTCTGGTTACCGTATCTCAAAAAAAACATTGCAGAGCTGGAAAAAGTACGGAGGAGAGCAGCCAAGAGAGCCAGCTTGGTGTAGTGGTTAAGTGTGCAGACTCTTATTTGGGAGAACCGGGTTTGATTCCCCACTCCTCCACTTGCACCTGGCTGGATGACCTTGGGCAAGCTGATAACAGCTGTTCTTGAAAAAGAGCAGTTTCTGTCAGAGCTCTCTCAGCCCCACCTACCTCACAGGGTGTCTGTTGTGGGGAGGGGAAGGGAAAGGAGTTTGTAAGCTGCTCTGAGACTCCTTTGGGTAGTGAAGGGCGGGGTATAAATCCAATATCTTCTTCTTAGGTGATTGGAGCACCTTCCCTATGAGGAAAGGCTGAAGAGTCTGGGACTTTCCAATATAGACAAGAGACAACTGGGGAGGGTTTTTTGATAGAGGTTTATAAAATTAGGCATGGGGTGGAGAGAGCTGACAAAGAGAAATTTGTCTCCCTCTCTCAAAATACTAGAACTGATGGGCAGTAGGTTAAGAATGGACAAAAGGAAATACTATATGTGGAATTAGCTGCCCGAGGATGTAGTGATGACTGCAGGAACAAACATTTTAAAAGGGGATGAGATAAGATTCATAGAGGATAAATCTATCAATGGCTGCTACTAGCCATGCTGGCGGAGGGGATCTTCTACATTCAGAGCCAGTAGGCAACATCAGGGGACAGCCTTGGCCTCTATGCTCTCTGTTTGGCCGTGCACAGGAACTGGTTGGTCACTGTGTGAGACACGATGCTGGACTAGATGCACCACTGGTCTGACCCAGCAGGGCTCTTCTTATGTTTATTTATTTCATTTCATTTCATTTCATTTATACGCCGCCCTCCCCACATGTGACTTAGTACAAATAAATATATTTGATGTGGAAGTGAAATTACTTACACCCACAATTTAGATTTTACCCTGTTCAATCTCAGGATGTCATTGGAGTGTGTTATGATCCCAGTTGGATGGATGACTTTCATTTGGTAAGGTTTGATGAAGTCAGAAAGCTGCTTAGAAGTGTGTGACCCACCATATCTCAACTCAATCCATCCTATTGGTATCAAGTCTCTCTGTGGAAAGGTGTAGTTCTAATTGCCTTGGAAGAGGCAGCTGTGAGACCCATACTCCAGAGGGCATCCCTGAACCCCAATGAACTAAACAACTACTGCCCAGTGGCATTTCACTGTTTGCTGTACAGGTAAAAGAGGCAGATGGATAGGACTATGTGTGCTGATTTGAGTTCTCACAATAAGGGTCATCCTTATTAGACTCAATCAATTTATAATAAAGCACTCAGCGAACTTTGGAGCCCCTTAAAGCTCTTCATCAGATCAGCTGGATGTTCAGTACAAGTAGGCGCTACGTTTCTCTCCATAAAGGGGAGATCTACTGTCTACAGTTTTCTTGAACTAGAGACCAGAAGGTGTTGCAAACTAAACTTAATAATTTGAGAGGGGCTGTACTGCCAGCCACCCAGCCTGATGAAGAGTTCTGAATAATTCGAAGGCTCGCTTGCTGCTTCGTGAAAATCTGGTCGCTCGTGATCGAAAACACCGACGAACACAGCTGTCGTTTGCTGGACTTGTTTCCATGGCCCAACAAGGCTACCGACATTCCTTCTCTCCTGCGTATAGGGACGTGCCAGGTTCCTCGAGTGGGAGCGCCAGCGCGCTCCAGCTTTGTCCTTGGCACGCGGCGAGGTTGGAACAAGCGACACCGCAAGCCCGAGAAAACAGAACCATGGCAACCGCCGGCCAATCACAGACTCCCCGCTCTGGCGTCACGTGAACCGGTGGCGCTGCCGCTCAGGAGGGGGCTCCTTCGCTTCCTTTCGACCTTTCACCTCAAGATGGCGGCGCCCGTCGGCCCGTTGAAGTTTTGGAAACCCGGTAAGGACCGGACCTTGCAGGAGGGGCAGGGGCGTAAGATGCTGGAGGCGAGGGGCGAAGAAAAGTGGGTAGGAGGGATCCAGAGGACTGCCTTGTTTCTTTACTGTGGTGCTTCAGGCTGCTTTAGGAACGGGGGGCGGGGTCCTCCAGGCAGTGACGCTGTCAGAGGAGAGGAGGTTGCCGGGTTTCTCTCCCTTGCCCTGCAAAGGGCACACATGGGCAGTGATTCGGGCTGTTTCTTCACTTTCATTCTTCCCCCCTCAGCCCGTGCTTAATTTCTGTTGGGTGTGTGTGTGAAGGCTGTCTGTCCTACTACTTCAACGCCAGTTGAAACCTTTCCCTCTTTTTAATGGTCTGGTGAGGGGGAAAGCGCTCTGCACATGTTCAAGAGCATCTTCACTTTTATCACCTTCGCTGGTGCTCCTGTTTGAGGCGTGAGCTGAAAAACTGGACGCTGCTGTAACTTCATTATTAGTTGGCATCCCTCATGGCTTTATTGCTGAGAGAAGTTTCACGCTGTTGAGGGCAGCTCAGTAGAGCTGAGTGAGCTTATCCTGCTTTCTAGTTCGAAGGGTTTTTAAGGTAGCAATTCGAAGCACACTTGTCAGGGAGTAAGTCCCATGGATCACTTTGGGGTTTTCTTAGAAAATGGCTTGTATAGGGTCAGGTTGTGATCCTGAAGATGCTTATTTCTGTCTTAAGATGAAGGAGGGAAGAATGCATTCAGATAAAATGCACACAGATTTTTTTAAAAAATGCATGTGCACTATCCTGCTTTTGGGTGTATTTCTTTAAAAAGTATGTAGTAGTGAACTGTTTCAAGTAGTTGAGTTGTACTTAGGGCTGGATTTGTAACTTTTCTATCAGCATCTTATAAAAATAAAACAAAATTGAAGGTATTGTCTGTTTTTTACTAACCTGCTAGCACAACAGCTAGAATAAATGGTATGTTACATTTGTATAAAGCAAAATACAGAATTGTGGAGAACTGAATTAAAGGACAGCGTTTTAAAAAGAGGGCATCTGCAGACTGTAAAGGAAGGGTTGCATATGACTGAAAGAACAACAAGGTCAAAATTCCCTTCTCTGGTGAAATCAGATATTGTTCTCATTGCAGCTTGTAAAGCAATGAGTACTTAATGTGGAGGTAGCAATCTTTTTGCAGTACTAAGCACTTTGCTTGCCATCTCTGTAAAATCTGCATTATTCTCTTGAGGTGACTGTTCTAGCATGAAGGTTAATTAGAGCACTGTCTTTCTCTATGAACCATGACATTTAATAGGCCTATACTATATTAAAATTCAAATCATTAGTTGTTTTGAGGTCTGGACTTAAATTACATATTCAGGAACAGTGCTAGTTGTAGCAGTAGTTTCCCTTAACTTGTATTTATTTATACATAGTCACTATTTATTGTTGATACTTTCATACTGTTTCTTTCTGACAGTGCTTTGAAAGGACATGAGTAGTAGAGAGTGAGAGTGTTACTCCTCCACGTTAATGTAGTACCAAATAATGGCCTTTAATACCTTGTGTGTGTTTGCCTTTGAGAATAAATTGTTGTTGAAATTTGCTTAAGCTAATGGACAGTATCCATGCTTGGTAAACACAACATAAATCATGTGGTAGCTTCACACATTGCTTCATTGTGTGGCATATTTATATAGCATGGGTCTGGGAACTCCGTAGTTTACATGTCACTTGTTTGTGGGTTGTTGAAGTTAATTTGGGGTAGCAGATGTGGGTTATTTGCTCATGCAAAGCCCTAAATAGCATTTGACATTGGTGGAGTATTTGTATTTACAAATTCTATTGTATTTACAAATTCTATTACCTACGACTCTTCTGAGTTCTGTAATAGTTTTTGTATGCTGTTTCTCTTTTTAATCAGCTCATGTAATTCATACTTTTATTCAGAAACAAATCCTTTAACAGGCTAATTTAATTCTAAGTATGCATAGTTTATTATTCCTTTATGTTGATTCTCCATTTTTCTCCTGTATCAAAGCTTATTTGGGGAGGGAAAAGGGTTAAAATTTTTCAGCACAATGGGAAAAGTTTTGAACCTGAGAACTGGTAGTCAATTGCAGAGAAATCTCCATGCTGCCTTCTGATTCCCTTCTATTGACAGCCCCTAGCCCTTAATCTGGTACTCTGACACAAAGACATATACAGCAATTCAACTCCCCCCCCCTATCTATTGCTTCCTTCAAAACCAGGAAAAGTAGAAATACAGCCGTAATGGGGGGGGGGGGGAGTTGTTCCAATACACTCATAGAACCAACCAGTGCTACCCCACCAGTATGTTACCTCATATTGCAGTCTTCCTACACCATGCTTATGCAAATATTGCCACAGGTTGGCCAACAATAAAAAGGAGTGATGCATAAAGTCTGCAAAGCAAGTTCAGTTCACTTCTAATAGTTCGTGGTGTAAAGAGTCATCATTATAAAATTGCAGAGCTGTGTCACACTGTTATCATGCAGTTATTGGTCTTACTAATGAGCATTTTAAAACAAAAGGAGTAAAGCATGCAGTTTGCCCAGTGACTATCACTGGCAATGTATTCCACTTCCAAGACCTGGTTCTGTGAGAGTTAAAAATGTGGTTAAACCTCTTCTTTTGAAATCACTAGGACAAACTGCTTATCTTCAGCTCAATTGAGCCCTATGTGTACATCTCTTGAACAAAAAGTTTCAGCACTGGATGAGTTAGACTGTCATACAGACAGCATGCCTGTCTCTTTGTTCACAGGTTTAGAGAGTTTTGTGGGACTTAGGCCTTTTCCCCTCATACACTGAAGCAAAGAGAAATGCAGGTGTACTTCAGCTTGATGTAGGCTGCTCTGATGGGTTGAGCCTGACTTCATTGTTTATAGCGCTTCCACTAATTGTTCTGCAAATAATAAGAACCCCTTGATTTGGAGTGGGGAGCAGGATGCACACTGGACCATGGAATTAGTCTCTCGTACATATTTTGGGGTAACTAGTGCTGCTGCTTTTCTAGAACATATTCAGTTTTCTACTACAGAAGAAGGTAGGTTCCAGGTGGCTGTCCCACTGGCATGCTGTCCTTCCATCCTGTTCAGCACAGTTTGAAGCATTCCTCCAATGTGTGGCTTTTCATCTAGCAGCTAAACTGGTTAATTTGGAGGAATGCAACAAACTTTGCTATGCAGAATGCTAGGAAGTGGCACAGTCTTTGGAACATACTTGTACTAAAAACGCACACACTTTTCCACAGTCACTTTTATGTTCAAAGCCCATGGGAACAGTGGTGCCACAGCATGGGGAATGACATGTATTCAGCAAAATATCGGCAGAATTAATGTTCAGCTGAGCAGCATTCCGGTAACACAAATATCATAGTGGAACTGGAAGCACAATCATACCCACAACATTTCCCATCTTTAAGTACTATTCTCTAACTGTATAATTAAATATTTTTAAAAAAATAAGCCAACATGCAAGTTCAAGTGCTAGGCCTTGCACAAGTGGAAATAATTCTTTGTCTACTGTAGACTTTGCACAAGCATGCCACAATTAAAAAAAAAAAACAACCCGCTTCCACTGACGTAATGGCTTTTACAATAGTGGAAGTGCTCTGCGGGATGCATGCCAGTACATCCAGTCCAGCAGTAGCCTGATGACTGAGATGCACAGTATTATTTTAGGTACTAGTACTTTCCAGTATGTTTAGTCACATGCATTTTGCTTTCTCATTAGCAATATTTTAATACATTTGTCAACTAGACAGTATTTGGTTTTGCCTTCCACTGTTGAAGTGTATTGGGACAATTGCTATTTACTTTCAAATAAGACTTCTTTTGACTTACCAGCTCTATGGATGGTAAATTTAATTTGTTCTCCTTTTCTGACAGTGTCTGACTGCAGTCACTGTTTTTATTACCTATAGTTCAGTGATTTAAATGTTCCAATACACTTGACCTTGGCTGCTATAGTAATTTTAATTATAGCTCTTACCAATGCTTTCTTAGCTGCTGACAGGAACTCTGTATTTGCAGAAGCATTAGGATGTCATAGCCACGTCTACTTCAGTTCAACAGTCTGGGCAGCACAGTGGGTTATAGGTTGCTCCCCTGATACTAAGTATGAACCAAGTTGTAATGACACTTGTGAGGGGAATAAATAGACAGTATTAAAGTCATGGCTGTCACTGCTTCTATAGAAGTAATTTTGGAAATGCTATACATTTGTCATCGTAATTGAGAATGGCAGGCTGCGGTCACACGGAGCATAAGCCACGCTTCAGAGACGGAAGAGAGGCGGAGTTTCCTGGCGCGATCACAGGGCAACATCTGGCTAGTGTAGAGCTCCCGTCGGTAACCCGTGGCTAAACGCCAAAGCAGCGCTGTAAAAAACTAGTACCGTGGAGGTACTAGTTTCCAGAAACCGCGGGGCAAGGGCGGGCGTATGACCGTGTTTCCGGAGGAAGTTCCAGCGCCCGCCCATGTCCCCTAGCTAAAAGGTGTTTTTTTTCCCCGAGTCTCCACGGTTGCGCACAAGCGCCAAACGGAGCATGCGCAAATGGATGTTTAATTAAAAAAAACACAACGTACGTCCTGCAGAGAAGAGGAGAGCAGCCAGAAGACAGCACCGAGTGCATGGCTTGAGGCGGGGAGCGACAGATGGGGGAAAGGGGGCAAGGCAGACGATGAAACCCAGAAGAGGGGGGGGCGGCGGCAGAGTAGGACGTCTGCTTGGGCGGAGGGGCGGTCAGGGCGGAGGGGGCTGGGCCATGCTGCTGTGCCCTCTTCGCACACCCCACCAGCCAGCTCCCCGGACCGGTGCCCTTCCAGACCTACTGCCCACCCCCTGCCTGCCTCACTGGTGGGGAAAACGCCGTGCCCGACACGATGCCACACCACCCAGTCGGCAGCTGGCCCCTCTTCTCCCCAGCGCCGCTTGGCCGGCTGTCTCTGGCAGCCCCCTCCTCGCCTTCCCTCGGCGCGCGGCCCCCGCTTCTTTGCCCCGAGGCCCTGCTTCTTTGCCGTGTGATCCGCACCTCCCCATAACTACTGGACCTCCACGGAACCTCCACGGGACCTCCATGGGAGGTCTGATCGTGCAACCGCGCTTTGATTTTCCCCGGGGGAAACAGCCACGCTTCCCCCCCGCATTTCCCTGGCCGTGTGGCCGCAGCCGCAGTTTGGTAAGTATTTTCAATAATTCCTACTGGAGTCTGTGCTGCCGCCTAAATAAGATCAGTTTGGTGTAAGGAGAGTTGATATTTTTGGCTTGGCTCTTTGGTGTGGCACAGGCATTGGAGTTGGTGAGTTATGGAGATTGTCTTTGCAGTGGGAGTTAAGGGTCTCTATATCCAGGCTCAAACAGGGTGTTTTTTTTTTTTTTTAAAAAAAAAACAAACTGCCTTCATTTTCGCTGGAGAAAAGGACTGTTTGGTTCTATGTATGTTGCCCCATGCAGAATAAAAGAAAAACTCCTTGGAGATGGTGCCTGCACAATTTCTCATGTATGATAGGTGTGCAAAGCTATAGTGGAAACTTTTCTAGAACTCATTGTGCAACTTGGATGTGTAAAAGTCATGGAGGATTTCAGAAGTTTGAGGATTAAACAATGCATTAGGGCAGTGGATGAGACATGTACTTCAATTTTGTGTCTGTTGGATGGGGCAGAAACCTACCATGACTGTCCTCCCGAGCTCCTCTTAAATGGTTAGACAAGGAATCTTTGCCCCAAATGTTGTGGAATATATAGAAAATGTGCCCATAAAGCCAGCCATAACTGGCAATTCCTTCTGTGCTCTTAGACTAGGGGATCTGACCTTGTTAAACGTGTGGGAATTTTTGGATTTGGGGAAAGGGTTGTGGACAACAATATAGAATGGCTGCCGCAGGGAGCAGGGCCAATCCACAAAATGTTGGGAGATTTCAAGCCTAGTGTCCTTATATGATGGATGCAACTACTTCCAACTGGGTGCTCCCTGAAGATGCAGAGAAATATGTCACCTGGCCTGTTCTGAGATACCTCCTGTACCTGGGAAGCAGAGGAAAGCTGAAATCAGCTCATTGACTTGGGAGACGAGACCTTATCCAGTTTCTAAACAAAGATCAAGCTTGTTCCTTCTGTGACCACAGAGAGAGATTACTAAGGCCAAAAACATAAGAAAGTCTGTGGCCAGGTTAGCTGCCTAGGATGAGTTCAGTGCTTTGCTAGTCAATTAGTTGCTAGGGAATGACCTAAAGCTCCCTTTTTCTGTTCCTCTGAGGACTCCTTGGGTTTTATCCCCAAGAGTGAAGAAGCAAATGGACATCAGGAAACTCACTGATGGGTGCAGTGTTGGGGATTAATTACTCTACCCAGCCATGCCTCAATACAGCCGGTTGTGGCCCCGGAGCTAATATTTGCTATGAATAAATGAACAATGCTGCTCTGTAATAACATCTTAATTGTTAAGCGTGCTAATCACCATGAGACTTACATAACCATGTGTGCGCATTCATATTGATGAAAAATGCTCCATGCAGATTGACCAAGTGCCAAAACAATTTTCCCCAGTAATCGAGAGTTCATGACAATCTTCGCTAATTGTGATGTATGAAGATGTGTACATATACATGCCGTAACACTACTGCTTATATCAGCTCAATACTGGCCCTAAGTCAACCTGCAGGCTTCATGATGAGAGAGCCATTGTTCTTTTTGTCAGCAACTGTTTGGCATGATGCCTACAAAATGAAGGACATCTCAGTGAATTACTGGAGGATGAAACTGCAAATTATGCATATCCGTAATTAATTTATTTTCTTCCCTTGTTAAGATCAGTTGCATGATTCAGCACTTGCTACTGTCCATGGTTCTTTTGTATTTGTCAGACTCCAAGAGACTCCCAACAACACTCTCTTTGGCGGTGATTTGGTTATTGAGATATTAGCATGAGCCAGGTTAGGACAGTACTGTGTCAGAACTGAGGTTTTTGGAGGTAACCTCTACAGTTATAGACAGTTCAAATATAGGCCCACCCCTGGATTCATCCAGTCGTTTCATTCAGCTGTCCTGCCTAAGCTGTTAGCATCTACACCCACCTGTAAGTTCCCAGTCCCATTATCTGAGACAGCGAGGCTAGCACAGAGTTTACTTCTAGGTCATCTCCGTGGAGAGGCTTGTCTTGGGAAGAGTTACGATAGCTGCTACAATGGTGCCACACTCATACACACACACACTCAGGAATTTCCCTTCCCCCCATAACTATGCCATACGAAGCAGAGTTTGACAGTATTCTGCAACAAAAGCACAACAGTTTCATGATGTATCTTGCTTTTAAATTAATTTCATTTGGGGATAAAATTTTATTTATCTTTTTAATAGCTTCTGTGTGGTGCTTAAGTAAGCTTGTGAAATGATGGGCCATTACACCCCCCCCCCACACACACACGTTCTATACCTGCTTAATAGGATTAAGATTCACTGAATTAAATGTGGGTTTATCTGTGACCTTGCAGTAAATTGTACTGAATTGATTGGGATCCTTATCAGTACATGTGTATAAGATCACAACTCACTAGACCCTGTCTGTTAAGTGTTTAGGATCGCAGCTTTACAGTCAGATTTAGTTTGCATATTTACTTAGCTGTAAACACCGCTGAATTAAATAGGGATTACTGCCTTGCATTTGTGGATGGGATTGCAGTTTAAGCTTCAGGCGGCATCAGTTATATTACTTTGAATATAACTCAATAATTTGTGATAGAACAGTGCACTACTATTTATTTACAGATGTTTTTGTGATGGTGTATTCACTAAATTTACTTTCTCAGGAAGACCCATTGAAATTACCAAGAGCACCTTTATCTACCTCTGATACATTTATTTCTTCAGCTTCCTTTGTGTTGTTCCTGACATGATTTTGTATGAATGGAAGATTCACTTCCACTGGTGCAAGGAGGAGTCCATTAAATTTTTTGATGGTGTAGGAAGGCTGCAGAAGATGGGAGGAAGTGGAAAGGCTTTCATCTGCTAGTAGCAGCACGTTTGCAGTTCTTTGCAACAATTGTGAGCTTCTTCTAATGGTTATCTTATCCTTGATGATGATTGTGTGTGTTTGTATCCCATAGGCACAGAAGGCCCAGGGGTTAGCCTGTCCGAGGAGAGACAGAATCCTAGTGAAAGCTCTGGGGTTTCTGTCATCTATAATCCCTATGCTTCCTTTTCTATTGAACAGCAGAGACAAAAGTTACCAGTTTTTAAGGTATAAATTATCTTTTGCTATTTGCACTGACTTATGCATATTATCTTTTATGTATTGGTTCTCAAATTGTAACCATTTCATCTCTTAAATTAGCCTTACAGTGTAGAAGATACTTTTGTAACAGAACTGAATGTACGTTTTTATTATCCCCTGACAAAATGATTCTTTGAAACCTTACATTTATGGTGAATTATTGTGCATATTAATTTTGAGCTGGTAGTAAATCATGTGTGCTGTAATTTGCCATTGAGTTTGGCGTGCCTTGAATTTTAATGGTCTTATAGTTACCTAACTTTGTTCTGGGCTGTGGCATAAAATAAATATTCACAGACTATTTTCAGTGATTATATACACCCCATAATTTACATATTAAAATTTATTTTTGTGCCTCTCTATTCATAACAATTAAATCTCTT